TCCGAGGGGGTTTTTTTTTAAAAAAAAAAAAAAAAAAAAAAAAAAAAAAAAAGATTGGAAAGATGTGACGCCATATTTTTTGTCTTTCGTGCACGTGAAGAGAAGTGCAGCGAGGCCCTATGGCAACCAATGAATATTCCGCCACGACATGGGAAGATACACCGCCATATTTTGTCTCTTGTGCATGTGGCGAGTAGTCCACTGGGATACCGCCATATTTTGTCTCTTGTGCATGTGGTGAGGACAGAAATGGCCTCATCCTGACCGCCGCGTGTTTTTTTTGTTTTTCTTGTGTTGCCCTGTGGGCTCTTGGTGGTACGAAGGATGACACGCATAAATCGAGAACCAAGATCGAGGAAGTCTGTGGTCCATTGGTGGGCAGCTAAACCTGCTGGAAAACCCGCGTTTTTACTGAACCCGCGTTTGCCCTGAACTCTTCAAATCCACCCCCGCGCCGCGTTTTCCTGGCGTGTGTTCTTTTTTTTTTTTTTTTTTTCGGTGTGGTAGTCATTCTTGACCGCCGACGGTGGCGGGAATGCGCAGATCCATGGTCAGAAATGAAAAACACCATGCTGTGGAACTCGGACCCACTGATACCACGCGGGGCGTGGGGGCGCAGCCAGGACGCCGGTGGACCGCCAATCGGCCTTCGGCAATGTCCCTGCGCTTTTGTTGTCGACCCGCCAAAGGCTTTTTTTTTTTTTTTTTTTTTTTTTTTTTTTTTTTTTTTAATGCAATGAAATTCCATTTCATTTCCATGCTGGGGACTTCACAATTCTACCTGGTAAGTACTGGAGCCATTACCCAGCTTCGGCTTCCCATCGCAAATCCCCCTTTGGCCTAGGGAGGCTGAAGCCGTTTTCCAGCAGGTGATGCTTCCAACCAATAGATGGAGATTCTCTTGTGGTGCCAGTGCTGCCTGCTTTTACCATGGGGAAAAAAAACGAAGAAAAAAAAAAGGTGCCAGTGCTGCCTGCGTTTTCCAGCAGGTGATGCTTCCAGCAGGTTAGTACTGCAGGGGGTATTGTAAGGGGGAAAAAAAACGAAGAAAAAAAAAAGTTCACCATGGGCACAATCAAAGTTTGCTTCCTAACCATTCTCATACAAGCTGATAGCCCTGCCACCACTGATGGCTGCATTCACACTGCCTCTGTGGTGCGGCTGCCTGTAGACGCGGTATTACCTTATAAGTTATAAGACCATAATGTTTGTGAGCGGAAGACAGGGAAAATGTTTTCCAAAAAAAGAAAAAGGAAAACCAGGAAAACTTTATCCCCCCCAACAAAACACTAAAATATGACCACCAAAAGGCTAAGCCAACCTAGTGTACTATTTAGTAACCAAGTACCTTCTGAAAAACACTGTTTAAACCACCACTACCTTTCTCATATATGGGGCCGCGGGCCTCAAATTCAAATTCGGCTAGATGCCCGCGGCAGACATATGGGAAAGGTAGTGGTGGTTTAATGTTAGATGGAATTACTCCACCTGAACTGCCCACTAGACCGGTTTCCCACGATGCACCCTTTGATCCTGAATGAGAGCAACAGTCAATGAATAAGGATCACTACGGGGGTACAGTTCTAGTTTGCTTCCGAATCCTTCTTCTGCCACCTACAAGCTAATAGCGCTCCCACCACTAGTGGTAGCACTCACACTGACTGCGTAGTGCCGCTGCCTTTAGATGCTGAGTCACGGGAGGAAGACAGAGAAAGTACTGTCCAAAAGGATGGACAAACCACAAGCATAGCAGATCAGTAAATGAAACGAAGTGTTAATATGGCGAATGGTTGATGAGAGGGCTGCCCCAAGTCGCTTCTGAACAGCGAGATGAGAAAGAGAAATGAAAGAAAAACAACGAACAACCAATCTCTCTAAATTACCATTGCATCGACGGTCGTGGATGCAGTTTAGTGGATGTGTTTGTGAGGGTTACCATGGCGTGATATAACAGTAGGTAGAGCGGAAAACTCTCTGGTGTGACAAATGCATGTGTACTGTTTCGCCATGGCTCTTTAGGTGCATTCCATCTTATGCCACAACTACCTGGGAGGATCTCCTTTTCCCACACGGTGGGGACAATAGGCCTGGCTTTCCCCCTCCCAGACTGCCAGAAGATGCTATTCTGCTGGGTCTCGCAGGTAGTGGTGGTTTAATGCTGCAGGCTGAACAGGCAATCTTTTCATTTAATGAGGCACTCCAGTCGATCTTAGTTTCCAGCAGGTGCACCTCCCCACCAATWGACAGGAGCCATCCGTAAAAGTCATACTATTGAGGGATTCGCATATCATCCCAGATAGTAACCGCTGCGGGTGAACCTCCCGCTCATGAGACAGTCTCCATCCAGCTGAGTCTGTGAGTCACTCACCTGACTAGAGACTAATCCGCCAAGCAGAGTGCAATCAYGCCGTAGTTRTTGTGTGTTCKTCCTMCTCCTAAAAGCTCATCTCTTTTGCAWTGAACTTATGACGAAGGTAGAGCCAGAAGGAGGAACCCAGAACCTCCTGCTCATGAGACAGGTGCATACACCAACTGAGCTACACAGACCAGAGGTGACTGTGATCAGAAATGGCATCTGTCAAGGAGTTCATCCACACAAATCCAGGCCAAGCAGAATACAACTATGTACGCTCTCTCTCTCTCTCTCTCTCTCTCTCTCTCTCTCTCTCTCTCTCTCTCTCTCTCTCTCTCTGTGTGTGTGTGTGTGTGTGCTTGATCATATCCTCTTTGCTAGTGTGACCTCGTCCCAGGGGACATGCACAGGCCTGCCCCAACCCAGCGTGGCGAGCATTGTCATCCAAACCTTGGAAAGAGCCAGCGCGCCTACCGATCCCCACCCACCCGCGCACCCCTTCCCCCCCTCCCCCCCAACATCCCCCATGCCCACCTCTTCTCCACCGACGGCCTGCCTCGTTTCAACTCTGGGAGCTGTGCGCTGCTCAAGCTTCGCACGGCTTTTCTCTCATATGATGTCAGAGGTCCTTTTTTTTTTTTTTTTGAAAAAGGAGAATTCAATTTCAATTTCATAATTCAACTCGAAGGCCGGCGGACCTCCTTTTTCTCTCTCTTGTTTCGTTTTTGAAATCAACTACACATATCGCCATTGGTATTGGCTAGCGTGTCTATCGTACCATCGACCAGGAGAAAAAGACGATTTTCTTTTATTTTGAATCGTGCAAAACTTGTGTCAGCGACTCACCGTTGAGCAAACTAAGCTGAACGAGCGTAGGTGGACTAGCGGCATTGAGTTTCGTCAACGCCTGAATCTGGACGTCTTTGTGGAGAGCTGCAAAAAATCGGATTGAGTTTCCTCAACCGAACACCTCCACAAAGACGCCCAGATTCAGGAGCTGAGGAAATGCTGTGTGTGTTCAAGAAACGCACCTTATTGACTCTCCGAACCACACTGCCAAAGGCAAGTGGTTATGGCCCTACACGGCCTACTACGCACCGACCAGGTCTTCCGCCTCCACCGGGGTTGCAATATGGCTGCCTCCCTCCTCAAGAATTGAACATCTGCATGTAGAATGGGACAGGCACCAGAGCAGGTGGATCTACCTTAAGGCCAGGGCAGCGGGCGAAGTCTTCTACATCTTATCTGTCTACGCCCCGTGCGAACTGCCCCAAAGACTGGAGTTCCTTCTCGACCTGCAAGATCTTCTCCCACAAGACGCCCCAGTGATTATGATGGGTGACTTTAATACCACCCTCGAACCTACAATGGACAGGAAATCTTCCTCTCAAGCTGCACCCAATGTTGCGGGGGTGCCGGGACCGGATGCGCTGCTGCTTGCCCAGCTCATGGCACAACACCGCTGGAAGACGCATTCCGTACTCTCTACCCCACCCAACATAAGTACACGTGGCTCAGATCGAGAGGAGAAGCCGGACTATCGAACTCAAGGATAGACCTCTCCCTAATCTCGTCAGATCTAATGGGCCTGCTCACAGCAGCAGAGGTACTCCCCTTCAGTCCAAATAAATCCTTCGACCACAGAATGATTGCGGTGGGCCTCTCGTTTCATGGCCACATAACAAGGGGCCCTGGCTTTTCAAGTTTAACACATCCCTCTTATCTTTGACCGCATTCCAAACCATGGTCAAACAATTCTGGGAACACTGGCAGTCTACTAAGCAATCATACAACGGTGTTGTGAAATGGTTCAACGAGGGGGTGGCAAAACTCTCGGACAGGACCAAAAAGTTCGCAATCAAGCACGCCAGAGACAAAAAAGCGATTCTTGAACGGCTTCTGCTTCATCTAGAGGAATGGAACGAACAACTCAATCAAAACCCCCTAGACCGGGCC